TGTGGCGTCAAAAAGGCATCTCACTGGGTCTTAAAGGTCGTGTGTACCAGGCTACAGTAAGGGCTGTGTTGTTGCATGGGTGCGAGACATGGCCTCTGCGGACAGATGATGTGAGGCGTCTTCAGGTTTTCGACCACCGATGCCTCAGAAGCGTGGCTGGTTTTGGATGGCTTCAACGTGTTAGTAACGAGGCGATTAGAAAACGGGTATTTGGTTGTGCTGCAGGCACTTCAATCCGGGAAAACATCCAGCATCATCGACTGCGATGGCTCGGTCATGTGATACGCATGCCGAAACACCGTCTACCGAGACGAGTGTTGTTCTCCGTGCCTCCTTCAGGATGGCGCAAACCGCTAGGTGGACAGCACATGACTTGGCAGAAAGGCGTGAAAGAGATCACGAAGAGTTTGGGTGTCGTTGGTATTGTTCGACTTCCAGGATGGCGTCCCCGTGACCCCGTCTGTGCTTGGCTGGAGACGTTGCAAGAAATGGCGGCTAATCGATGTCAGTGGCGTACGTGCTGTCAGTTTCTTTCCAGATTGTCTGATTGAGCGGTTGGAGGTGTAGGCACGTATGCATGCTTGACATAGACCAGCACTAGGTCCTCTCCCTCACCCACTCTTTTTCTCTTCTCTTTACTGTAGGGCTTTTAATACAGCAGAAGAGTCTCTTTACTGTAGGGCTTTTAATACAATCAGCAGAAGAGTAAAAGCAGGTCAAACGTTACCAGGTGAAAGTTCCAAAATCTAGTGGTGGAGGACTGTAGCAGCTGATTGAATGTATCCGGGAATTTGCGCACGTGTGTGTCCGTTCGTCAATAAACCAGAGAGCTATTGTGTGATGCCTGGACATATGATCAGAGCTGCATACGTGCCTTTGCAAGGCGGACCTGTTTGGCCGCATTTACACAATACGTCCGTATCCTTACATCCGCATTTTGAGTTAATTCGAACCTACAATAAATGCCATTCCTAAAGTTGATGTGTATCCGACACTTGATGAGCACTGCTCCATCGAAAGCGAAGTTACGAACTCTGCAGTGAGAAAATCAAAAACTGAACAACCACTAAAGACAACCAGTTCCAAACCAATAGTTTGAAGTAATCCAGCTAATTAAGATCTGTTCAGCATTATCTAACCAATACAACTATAATAACGCAGTCACCGAAATGAAGGGTCAACGCAGAGACAACTTGGTGACACAAACTCGCATGCCGCTTTTAGCCATCCGCCTACAAATGCATTCATACGGAGATGTGTTGACCACACCTAACTCGCTTATATTGTAAATTGGGCGCATGCCAAGAGGTAATAGCCACAGAATGGCAAGCATAACATAAAGCACTACAAAAAGCAAGCCTTACAGAACCGGTTTCTGCCTGAGTGGCTCGACTAGATAGTCCTTCTTATGATACCGAGAAAACGTATTGGGCGCCATGCCAAGAGGTAATAGCCACAGAATGGCAAGCATAACATAAAGCACTACAAAAAGCAAGCCTTACAGAACCGGTTTCTGCCTGAGTGGCTCGACTAGATAGTCCTTCTTATGATACCTGAGAAAACGTTCGGCTGTAGCACCCTTCCGGTGCCCAGCTGCCATGCCTCAAACAGAATTCAAAGTGCTGACTGACCTAATTAGTTAAACAGTAGGGTCAATAGATATCTGTAAGCCAGATTGCGCTTTACTTGACAAAAGGACAATGTAAAACAACTCGATTAACAAGTGACGGTGGTGTTAGATCAAACCACGGAATGGGAGCGCGCCTAAAGAAACGGTAGATGTTGACCAAGGTTTTTAGACAGAAACTCCGCAAGTCGCGCCAGATTGATGTGGCGTGCAAGACTTACTGCGGCATCATATGGTGGACGGAAATTCTCCAACGCGCGAGAGGCGCATGTGGTAGGAACATTCCACTGATTTGCATCAGTACAAAAATTGTCTTTGATTCCCATTGGAACACCAGCAATGATGGAGGAATCACAGGCAGCTGGCAAGGTGTGATTTCGTGTCACACTGATGAAGGAATTCGTCGGAGTTATACCGAAACTGGACAATGATTCGCCTGTGTTATAAGCCGTCTGGTCAGCAATGATTCGCGAAGCAAAGAAATTGTAGACGTCAGTAAGTGGAAGTTGGCGAGTACGATAGGCGGTATGAAGATGATGAATAGCTCCACGTATCATCTTATGTGGTGGTTTGATTGAGGAAATATGACACAATTCCTGTTAGGTAAACATTTCTGACTTCTTGGTCGGTTGCAAACGTTTCCAAAGCGAATGATACAATCGATTCGAACCAACGATTAGAAAGCCGAATTGGTACACTGAAAAAAAGTCACATTAAATCCTGGTGAATTAGGCACTATGTCACTGGCAGGCTAGCAACCACAAAATTAGCAAGGATTACCTCACATTCTGAATGAAGCACCAGTGAGTATACATCCCGGAAACTATCAACACACAGACGACTGAAGCATACCAGCAGGCAAGCAGTATACAACCTTTCATTTTCTTAAAATATTTGGAAAGAGATTATCATGATGGGACCCAAATGGAAGTCCTACATAGATAATCAGACCCAGGCGATAAAACTGGCAAATTTATTGGTATCCCAATGGTCACCCGTGTCATCATTCACGGTGTTAAACGGAGTCTGCGAAAACACTGCCTTATGCGGTCGACATGCAGAAATGAAGGACAGAGGCGCATCTACTGTCAGTCCCGTCAAACCCCACATGACGAATGGACAGGTGCAACACATTAGAAGCCAGCTACAAATGCAGTAAGAGACTGAGCCAATGATCGCTAACTCGATTAAAAACATCACATTAGAATTTCATTCTACCACAATTTCAGACCGAAATTATGCATATTGGGTCTCAATTTCGTCAAGTTGCCGTTGGTTCTGTCATCTGGCTCACCTACTGCATGTGGCTCCAAGGCCGTTATTTTTAGGTTCTTCATCGATTACTATGATTGCTCTTTCTACAGGGAAGCATAGAGCTTCCCCTGAACCTTGCCCCTAGATGTGCAGCCGATGACGACAGACAAAACTAGACAGTCATTCTTTCGTCAAGCTCGGAGGTTAGTGCCATTAGGCATCAGACTTGCTGCCGAAATCACGTGGGATTGTATGGTGCGTCCAGTACCTATACCGTCGTTAAGTGAAAACCATATGACGGTGATAGACTTACCCTAACTGCCACATCAATTCCATTATGGTCTCACTGCGTTTATCCTCACATCCTCTGAAGTCCTAGCTGACTTAGCTTCAGAATAACGACACAGGAAATTCTGGCTCTCTATATGCGTGCAGCAGGGACGCTAAGCTTTGTAGTGCTTATGTATGCCAATGTACCCTTGTGTCAGGTCATTTTACGTCGTTTTAGAATTAAAATAAAAGAATCAAGTCATTCCTGGGACAGATATAGCGTATTGGTGTATGAACGGGCTGTTTGATAATCAATGTCCCAGAACCGCAGATGGAATAGGCTGGCAATAGCAGTGAATTGACCAGGAAACGGATGTCTGGAGGATCAGAAAGAACCAATCTGCACAATGCACTCAGTATTGCTGAGTGCATTCTGCAGATTGGTGGTTCGAACCCAAACTCTGCATCTTGACATCCCCTGTTCAGGCTCGGACAACCTGGCGGTATCCCAACCCTCGTGTAGCAATACACGTTACGGTGGCTGACACCTGCGCTGCGTATGTCAAATTATCGTCTAACGACACAGTTGCTTCCTACGCCGGATTCAGTAAAATGAAGGGGGGGCAACGCATAGTTTGGCAGGAATGGACGAGTTTTGGCTATTGATGAGAGTTTCAATCGAGGATGAGAACTCGGTGACCTTTTATACTTGGCTACAGACATTGAAGCCAAGTATAAAAGGCGAGATGGCCCAAGTGGTAAGAGCGCGAATGTACTGACCGGAAGGTCCGTCGTTCAAATCCGACCTCCGCCTCTCGACTTCCCCTGTCTAGGCTTGGGCAACCTGGCAGTATCCCAGCCCTCGTACTTCCTTCGGGTGGCATGGCAGTTAGTCAACGAAAGGGTGCTACAGCTGAACGCTTCCTTTCTTTCTTATATATGTCATCAAGCTGGTGTCAAATGTCTCTGTTTTTAACTTTTATCTCAACTGATTGAATAAGTGTTCAATGTAGACAGCCCAGCTACTTGTGGTAGGTTAGCACCAGGTCCCGTCTCCCCTCTCTGCTTTTTCCTTTTCATCAACACAGCCACCACCAGAAAAACAAACTTCTTGAAACAAGGAGGCGTACATTTGGATGAATCCATTGCTGGCCCCGGAGAATGGAACGCCATGCATATAAATACGACCAAATTCGAAAGCCGACAAGATTGTCTATCACATTAACAAAGCCAAGAATATGGTATTCAAACATTTTTCTTGACGATAGTGTATGGTGAATAAACTGTTGTAGAAGTTTAAGTTGGTCGAGCTTCCTAACTCCTTAATACACTGTGAATAAATATTCAAGGTTTTACTGAAACCTCTAAAAAGTCACTTCGTTTTACACAGGCGCCTCGCAATAAAATGTGAACATCTCAGAGCACATCATTTCTCGCGAGCGAAGTTAAGGGATCGCGGGTTCGAGACTCCCCGGGGTTTCATGAGATGTGTAGTGGTTTTCTCATAGGGAGGTGACGGTGTACGGCACAGGTTGGCTTCACTTAAACGAAGAGATCTTCATTAAAAATGTCGACGGATTGGAGGAATTGCGGAAAGCAAGAAACTTCGGACTATATGTTCGCATTAAATGTCCCCAAATGAGTTTACCAAACCACAAGCACTCTACAGGAGAAAAAGAAACGAAATGTGCCAGAGCAAGTTTATTTTTCAAAGTCGGTTTTCGTATTACTTGTGTCTAATTCAAGTCATCGTCGTCGAAGGGATCATAGCCAAAGTCTAAATGATGAAATGAGAAAACGCGTTACGGATAACTTACACCGGCGGAAATCGGCGTGCAACGGGGGTCCCTGTTCAGCGTTTACAACGTATATGGCGTCCTAACGAGATTAGATGCAAGAGCTCGGAGCAAGTACTCACTTCTTCCATAAACCCTTGTGAAGTGGGGTCTACACCTTCATCAAATGGTTGCATAGTTTCCGTGTCCGTGAAGCTATACGGGTAATCCAAAGATAGTGTAAAAATTTGGACGAAAAGGATCGCATTTAGGAAAAACTAGCAAAACAGACGTCGAGATAAAGAACGTAGAAAGACTAGAACTAGGCGATCAGCGAGACCAGAGAACAGCTGCAAGCAAAAGGTGAGCAAACAAAAGCCTTCATAAGGGCAGCCTGGCTTTTTCATATTCGTCGACGCGCACTGATGAGGGATCAAATATTTCTGTTGAATTTCACTCAAGCCAGTTCACTTCATTTGCGCCCACCAGTACTGGGATCGCCAAAAGTAGGACCTTTCAAGCGATGGACTCTCCATTATTTAATCTACTAAGCTACCATAGAATATGGCTTGGCGTCACTAACATCGTGTGCGCTTAGATTTCATTGGGAGCGTTTCTCCAGCTTCCTGTGTGAAGCATATTTGCAAACAGCCCAACTATCAAGAAACCTAGAGGATTCAACATAGATCTACATGAAATCTGCGAAGAATCGTGGGCTGGCATCGATTTCTGGATTGGTCTACCACATTTAACAAAGCCTATGGAGACCCGCACACAATCGGTGAAGTCATGTAAGGTTCGCGGCTGAGCCATATGTGCGTCCACCTGAACACCCTGTAAATCTGGTGGATAAGTTCAGAGAGTGAGCAGGAGGGAACAGTTCTAATCACCAGCATTATCAGCTGTAAGAACCGCGTACTTGTTGTACAGTGCTTGTAGCTGTCACAGTTTCACTCACCGATGATTTGGGGAAGTAGGGTAGGCAGCAGCGCATTGGAGGTGAGAGCTAAGTTGGTGAGTAAATACGGGTCTGTGGGGGATTATAAAGGCGGCTATGCACTGAATACAATAGATTGGATGCACGAGCCCCACTGAGGGCGCGACTGGGCCATACCTGACAATGTTTGCAGCCATTAATGTGACTCGTCTCGGGGTCCCATCCAGGAAGACGGCAATGACCAGCGCAGCTGAGTGTGCTGGTAACAGCTTTCACACTTCGTTGCCAAGTGATTGTTTGACCTCTCCTTGCTCGTTTCCACCCTTCGCGTGTTTCTACAAAAAGAACCCTTCAAGGAAGTTGGTCGATTGACATACGGAGCACGTGGCCAAACCAGCGCAACCTATGCGGCGTGATCAGTTCATCTATGTATTTCGTCCGAACACCGTTCGACGTACGTCAACATTGCTGATCCAGTGTTCCCACCAGACTCGGGCAATCTTCCAAAGACGTCGATGGTCAAACGCTCAAATTCTTTTGACGTCCTTAGCTCGGGGCAGCCAGGTTCCTGATACATAGTAACATGGAGCGCATCGCACCATTGTGAGCTTGACTCTTGACGGTTAGGCTGATGTTACGCCTACGTCACAGATGTCACAGGTGGCGCAAGTTCACAAAAGCTGCTCTGGCTTTCCCAATCCGGATGAAAATATCATCCTTCGCTAGACCACCGAGACTGATACAGCTGTCCTGGTAAGCAAACCTATAGTGGTTTCGAGCCCACCCAATTTTGCAATAGTATTTTACACTTTACAGGCGTAAAGCGTATGCCAAACCTGGGGCAGAGTTATTTGGATTATTTAATAGTGTCTGTATTACCATGGGTCAGATCCAGAGTTATGTCGTCTGCGTACTCGATATCTGTGAGCGAAAGCCCTGGGGTCACTTCGACTTCACAGATATTAGAGGCTGATAGTGAGTCTTCCATGACCGTATCAGTGACGAATGTGAAAGAGGACAGCCACGTCTGATGTGAACTCTGATGTGGTGAACTCAGGCAAGAGTTTCCCGTAGACCTTCACGCGTCCGCGGGAGTTGGCGTACAGCGCCTCCAGGAGGGTCAAGAATTTATTAGGGACACCATTGCTTCACAGACACTGCCATAGTGCCCGATGGTCGACAGAATCAAAAGCAGCTTCCAAGTCAAGGAACACAACCATTGTGGGTTGCCGGAAACAGTGCTGCTGTTCCATAATCTGTCGGAGGGTGAAGATACGATCGATGCATTCTCTTGCAGGACGGAATCCAGCTTGGTTTTCGCGGACCTACCTTGTTCAGTCAACCGTTGAAGGATAAGACC